GCCGGCGGCCCGGCCAAGTCCGCCGCGGAGCGCGGAGGTCGCGGGATTCTTCAGGGAGTCACGAGAGGTGGGAGAGGTGGTCCTGCGAACGAATCCGGTGATAAGAGAGGTGATGTCAAGGTCTTTAGTCTTTCACGTGTTCTTTCGTGATGAAAGCGGCTCCAGGGGTCATGGAGAATAGGACAATGGAGACTTTTGTTGGTTGCATTAATACGTCGTCATTTGGAAAGGCCCTTCCGTAAAGGAAGAATGCTTTGGCCACTGAGTCTTGGTCACTGGTGGGGATGCTTTGGGCACCAGAGGGCCTCATGATTCCCCACAACCAGTTGTTGGTCCAGTTATATCATGTGATATCCTCCCGAACCTGATCGGTGAACCTTTGGTGGGTATAGCATGGTATAGCCTTGACTCGGTGCCCCGGACCAGGAGGGCTTGCCCGGGCTGAACTGGGAGCTGGCCGAGCATGCCCGCTCTTTTGCCGGGTTTTGGGTCAAAGAGCGGTGTTCCTCCAAGAATCCCATGCTCGGTCAAGAAAACTCCCTGCTCCTGGCCCACCTCTCAGGAGGTTCGGCGGTTGGGGTGGGTTTTGGGGGTCTAACCACCTTCTGAGGAGATGGTTGGAGCCCTAGAGACTCTTTGAAGATGCGGCTTCAGACAGTGTTCTACTGGCGTAGCTTATGCTTATTATAGCTGTGCCGGAAGGATCAAGCTTTCTATGGTGGAATTATAGTGAATTGACAGTATAGATGGCACAATATGATACAATACAATATGGCACAATCCCCAAATTTGGCGGTTGTTTAATGGACCCCATCTAAAATCATCTTGGGGTGCCCGTGCCATCTACTCTTGAAACCACGGAAAGATCATGTCACCAAAAAGGGTCTTCGAGTATACGTTTATTTCTTTTAATGATTATATAAAGGTCCACACACACAACTCTCCGTCGGTTTCTGGCCTCGGCTCCCCGTGTGCCGCTCCGACCGGTCGCCTTTTCCGCCGCCGCCGAGGCGATTCAGACGGTGCCCTTCCGGGATCCCAGCTGTCAGGGCTTCGGGGCGTTGTTCCTTTACAACACCGACACGCCACGGAGCCGCAGCACCGGGCGACACGGAGACCCTTCGAGACACGGAGCCGGACCCGGTGGATCAAGGTCGGTCGCCCGGTCTGTCCGACAGGTCGTCCAACCCGGAGCCTTCTATACCCTAGGGATCCAAGTACCTTCTCAGAAGGTGGGACTGGGGTGGGTGCCAGGAGGGTCCAAGTGCCTTCTGAGAAGGCTTGGATCCCTAGGGATAGGTTGATCATGTCAGTCCATCGGTGGGAAGATGAATTTCGGTGAATGGATGGCCATGTGTGACTGTACCCCGCGCAGCGGCGTTGAAGGAGAGAAAGAGAGAGGTGTGGCCGATCTGAGGGAACAAAAGGACGAGGCTCCCTCTCTCCAGGAAGAGGACGAGAATGAAACTTGCCAGCTGCTTTTGAAGGGGGGACCGGGACACCCTTGCATTTTTCGATATATATATATATCGATATTAAAAAAACAACGTGCACAGTATATACTGCTATACATATTATAAAGTTAGGGACCTTCTACTTCTGGGTCTCCCTTAAGCCACCCAGAAGTACAGGATTTTTAGAGTCGAAGCTTGGACACCCGAGATGAGGCGAAAAGACGTCGCTGCCCAGCGGCCCGCATCGAACTCCTCAGTCCTGTGTGGCCTGTGTCCATCCATGTCTTTCCCACGTGCCGAAGCGGCTGAGGCAAGCCACTTGCTGGTTCAGCTCTCTGAAACTTTGCTTGCACTAGATCCATGCCTTTGATCCCATGGAGGAGGGTGGAATGTGCTGGAGCCCCGCAAAACGGCGTACTGTTAGGTATGAATTTGATCTCCTTCAAGTGAGAAACATGCGTATATTATTATATGCATGCCCACGCTCTTTTCTTGCCCCATCTTGCCCCCCCCGACGGCAAATATGGCCTGCGTTTGGTTTTGTTTCGGTGTGTGCGCGAGGAGCATTTGGGAGATTCTCAGGTACCCGATTTCGTGCGCGGAAGGGACTGCCTCCTTGAGGATTTCCTTGAGGATCCGATTTGATGAGGATTTGAATCCTCAAGGACCATATAATTGGAATATATCCTCACGGACCTTCAAAAGGGGTGCCCAATGGAGACCCACAAGAAGTGTAGGGCATTCCATTGGAGACCCTGTAAGGAAGGATGGAGGTCGATTTCCCGGATGGGCTGAATCCCCCTTTTGGTGATCGGGTCTCCTGCTGGTTTCTTGAGCAAGTCCCTCCCCCCGTAGGAGCGGTCTTAGCTTAGCCGCCCAGGAGAATCAAGCAAAGTCAAGAAGACACTTGGCATCTATCAGGAGTAGGTGTGAAGCTCCATGGGTTATGATGGAAGCTCCATGGGTTGCCTTTCCTCATTTTGGTCGAGATACACACATTGATGATTGATGTTTTTGTGTAGAGAGGACAGGTTCGTCAGTAATGTTCAAATTCGAGATGTGAGCTGTGAGCCTTCGAACCCTTGAAGTAAATCTATGTTTGCGTGGTTTTGTTACATTGGTTTCTGATTAGATGGCACGGACCCGAAGATGTCCTTTATATCTTTATATGGGGTTCCATAGCAACCACCTTTTGGGGATTGTGCCATCTACTCTGAAACCATTTAGTATTTTCTTCCTGTGACCGCAGCATGTGTTCTGAATCTAGGGCTTTGAAATCAGTACTTTGTGGAGGCAAGTTTGCACTCTTTGTTCATTTAACAATTCCACGTGAAATGGAAGGGACTTTCTGCACATTTTCTCGAGCAAGCCCATTGGCTATTCCCACAAACCTCATCGCAACCTCATGTTGGGTAGTATTGCGTGCCTTTCACCTGTCAGGTGATGGTTTGTGAGGGTCTAAGATTTTGATGTCAGCCTCATGCTCTAGGAGCAAGGACGCCACTAGGAGCTCCTGGCCGAACGTACTACTATAGGCTCCTGGCCGTACTACTTTCGGAGCAAGGACG